TTAATCTTGAAGGCCTGTCTGGAAAAGACAAGAGCATATTGACCTCTATGCTAAAGACGCTTAGAGGCAGATCCTGGGCAGTTTGGGGAGCACTGCAAAAAAATTGTATTTATGGAAAATCAGATATTTACTTACAGAAAAATTAAAAGATCACCTGCTATCACCAGACTTTGTCATTTGGGAACTCAAGTTACCGGTTGGGCCTGAATTATTCTTCTCAGGAGAGAAGCTTCCTTCCTCCTCATTCCTAAGGAATGACCATGTCATATTTGGTTATTTCTGTGTAACAGTTCAGATTCTTTCTAGAGAGGTGCAGCCGACCTGCCGAGCTGTGTCACAGTGACTCACCCAAATATGATTGTAGGATGCTCCTCAGTGGGAAGCAGACCGCTGGGTTCAGCAGGAGAGGATTCAAAATAGAGACTCTGGTTCATATAAATATTCCCACTGTACCTGCTCCGGGAGATATGATGGTGTCATGCCTTTCAAAGTAAATAGTGATGCCTCTCTCTCCATGTATGGGAGTCATGAAGATGGTTTTAACTTAGCACAAACGTTAAACCTAGACTGAGATTGCTTGTCCCCTTCCTGAGTCTACCTTTCCTTTCCCCCTTTTCACACCCTCTAAACTGGAGCTGCTGCACTGGCCACCATTATCACAAACAGTGATCGATAGAGGGACTGCCTGCGGTTCTTTGATGAGTCAGAGGTTAGGAATCATCTGGTAGCTTCTAGCAAAGCAGCTGGCTGTTTGTTTGTGGAGTCCTGTATTTTTTCCCCCCTCGCAATTGTAAACAATCCCTTCCTTACTTAGCATAAGAAGTCTGCCAACTTCTTAAAAGCAGTTGGCCTTCTGAGACCTGGGTTTGTAGTCTCAAATATCCCCACTGTTTTCAGTCCTGGTGATGTTTCTCTGTGATGTGGGGTTTGGGCTGAGTGCCTACCTACACAGGTGAAGTTGAATGCCTCTCCTGTTAGGAGAAAACAAAAGGCAGGCCCTTTCAAAAAGGAAAGGGGGTTTGTAAAACAGAGGACTACAGAGACAGGGTACACTTCTCTAATTCCACGGACCATTCTGTGAGCTGCCCCAACAAGGTCAGGGATGAAGGGTGCATTGGGAGTGTCTCAGCCTGAGGGTAGTGTTTAGAGCTGAACACAGCATGTGTGCACAGCACACCTTCTCTGAGTTCTGCTGGCCATTGTCTCTGTGACCCGAGGCCCTGTCCTCTGGCAGCCCAATGTTACAAAACCCATCGCTGCTAAGTGCCCCGAAATGAGATTGTGGAGGATTCCAGATAAGCTTAAAGCCGGGCCCCTTCTCTAAAAGTCAAAACTATGTAAGACAGAGAAGGAATGACAAGTGTTTAATTTGGTGGGACAGATTTAAAATCCAAGGAAAGAGCTCAGAATGAGTTGAGGTGCTCCAAGAAGCCTCAAGGAAGTGATAGTTAAGACACCTGAGACAGCCCTTCTCACCAACAGGCCCCCTCCCGGCCCCCACCCCAACCCCAGGTGAGTCATCTTGACTGTCTGAGCCTCAGCCACCCTTCTCCAAGCCTCCATCCAGTCCTGCAGTTGAAAAGTTTAATGTTGCTTTCCAGTATAGCTAAAGCTGAACCAGGAAGCAGGAAGTTTACCTTGGTGCCCTGGATGAATAGGGCATAAGAAAATAAAAATAACAGTTAAGATTTTTATGAGTGCTTACTGTGAGCAAGGCACTGTTCTAAGAGCTTTATACGCTAAGCAGTTGTGTGTGTGTGTGTTTTACCATGCAGTCCGGGTCCTAGCCATGTAAGTTTGACAATTTGGGTATGTAATGGGGCAAATCAGCTAGAAATCTCATTGGCCTTCATCTTCAGTCGAGCCCGTTAGAGTAGCCACTGCNTTGACAATTTGGGTATGTAATGGGGCAAATCAGCTAGAAATCTCATTGGCCTTCATCTTCAGTCGAGCCCTTTAGAGTAGCCACTGCTTTCTTTTCTTTCTTTTTTAAATTTATCTTTATTGTTGAAAGTATTACAGATGGCCCCTTTTTTCCCCCATTGATCCCTCCACCCTGTACCCGCTCCACCCCCAGGCCTTGCCCATACCATTGTCTGTGTCCATTGGTTATGCATTTATGCATGTAAGTTCTTTGAGATGGCCTGTTACTGCAAATGAAATGAGAAATAAGGCTCCCCACCCTGCCCCCACCCTCCCTTTATCTCTGCTGCCAAAATCATCTTACTCGGAAGTCTTTCCACCTTTTCTCAAGTTGTCTTCAGGTGTCTTGGGATGTGTGATGGTGGTACAGGGCTGGGAGAGGCCATCTTTCTTATTCTAGGCCCGTGCCTATAAAAATCAACCTTTAGCAAGAAGTGACTGCAAAAGAGCAACTTATTAGCTGTGACTGAGGTGCATGAAGAAAGCAACCTCTTTCAATGGTTTTGCTTTTTTCAAAGAAAATAAGTAAATAAATGTCCAGGTTCCTGAGTGGTGGTAGCTTTTCTTGTTTAAAAAAATTTTTTTTAATCTGCTGTAATTTCCCATTGGCTTTGCATTGCATATCCTTGGAATGGATATAATTGAACTCTCAAAATATTATTGCTTAAAAGAAAACATATAAGCAGGCAATATAAATAAGCCCCATAACCATCCCTTCCAGGCCCTACTTCTGGAGCCCAGAACCTAATAACCAAGTGAAAAGTGCATGGTTTCACTTTGGTCCAAGCTTTTCTGCATTCTACAGTGAGAGAGCCTCGTCAATTATGTCAAATTCTGAAACTAGCTTTGGGAATGAGTCCCTGGGGCTCAGAGCAGGTTATTATTGTTCCGGTGAGGAAAGCCAGGGCTCAATTTTTTTGAGGAATGTTTTCAGTGAGAAAAGAATATGGCAAAATAAGTATTTAAAATCTCTAAGGAAGGGTCACAATCTATGGCCCTGGCTCTAAGAATTTTCTGCCCCACCTTCCTTGTGTGATTGAGAATAAGACAGTTTCGTTTTATGCTTCTTTATATGTGGAGCTTAAGCTGTAGGGTTTTGTTCGTGGTACCTGTGTGTGTTTCCTTTCAAAATAAGCTGTCGTGTGGTATTTTTGCACACAAAATGTCCCAGCCGCTTTCTAAAGCTGTTCTCAGCCTTAGGACCTCATGGGTCAATCAAGTGACCTTCCATTTTTTCCCTTCTCCTCAAGCTTGATTGAAATTTCTTAAGTTAGCTGTCAAGACTGCGAGTTCTGCCTTCCCTTTGTTCTGCCACTCTTCTGCTGCAAGTGGACAAACACACTCACGTGTGACACAAAGCCTGGTCCAAAACGTTCACCCTTGGCGTGCAGAAGAAAGTACCTCCAAGAGAGGACATCTCTGCAGCAAGCTCTCTGAAACCTAAAAATATCCTGTCTCTCTGAATGAAAAGGAGAATGCTAAAGATATTAGGAAGCTCAGTAAATGCTATTAAGCAGGGCCTTCTGAGGGAAGATTAACAAATGATTGGTTATCCATTAAGCTTATCCTGATGGGTCTAGAAACACTGAGTGTATTGTTGGTGTTGTCACGTGCGAGCATTTTAGCAAGTTACTTATTGTACGCATTGAAGTGTTACTTGAGAAACTATCATAACAACAGGCTACTGGAACTTGCCTCAAACCCTCTATTTTACCATTTATACAATGTCCACAGATTGGAGAAATACAGGTGTGTCTGTTTGGACCCAATAAGTATGTCCAAAAAAGATATAAATCAAATCACATTTTATTTTATTTAAATATATCTTTATTGATTTCAGAGAGAGGAAGGGAGAGGGAGAGAGAGAGATAGAAACATCAATGATGAGAGTCATTGATCGGCTGTCTCCTGCACGCCCCCGACTGGGGATCAAGCCCACAACCCAGGCATGTCCCCTGACCAGGAATCGAGCCCTGATCGCCTGGATCCTAGGTTGATGCTTAACTGCTGAGCTATGCCTGGCTGGGCTTAAATCACATTTTAAATTCAGCAGAGGAACTCAGAAAATTATAAAGGACTGTAATACTTTGGTGATGTAATTTTTTAAAAAACCTTATTTATGTTTTACTACTTGGCATTCTAAAACCTGCCTTGCATATACCTACATAGCCCGTGGGAGTTGGGAGAGTTGGGAACCTACCTTCCCCATTCTACCTCAGTATTTCTCCTGCATCCCTTCTGTGGAAACTCTGCAGAGATTGACTTTGAAGTGACATTGTATAGTAGGCCAGAACTCAGTCAGTCCCTCCAAATGATGCCTCAGCCTACGAGGGGAAAAAATCCACGTGACCCGGGTTGAGCCTACGATTCCTCCAGTGACCTGGGGGTTGGGCAGTTCTGTCTTCTCAGCCCTTATAAACTTATGAATTGTGAACTAAGCTTGTTTCCTTTAGGACCCGCGGTCCTCGCCTTGCAGCATGACCCCTAGTGTTAGTCCATTACACGAAGACTAAACAGCTAGCTTGGTTCACAAAACACCTCGTAGAAATGGAGTTTGCAAGTCGGATTTTTGTAAATGTGATCAGATTTTAAAGGCCCGACAGAAGCATGCTAGTTAAAAGCAGCTTGGGTACACTTTCAATAGGAGAATTGTATGGTAGGGGAATTATATCTTTTTTTTAAAGCAGCTTGGGGTGGGTGCTGTTGCAAAATGAGGGCATTGTGTGTTACAGGGGTACCAGTAATGGCCCCCTCCCACCCCCTCCATTCATCCTTCTTGCTTAAAGTAATATTGTAGCACCCTGCGTCACCCACCCGCGGTGAAAGAGTGCCGGGCTGTGTGTCAAATACAATGGCAGGCACTGTTGGGAATTCACAAGGAGCAGAAGCCCCCATCCCTGCCTTCCACTGAGATGTGACAATATGTGATCCTCAAAAAGGGATGCCTGTGCCTGGAGAGACCTCTAGGGAGGGATCTGCATTGTCGTGTTGGAGAAGCTTGTATGGCCGTGTTTTATAATCCAGTAAGTTAGGTAGGGAGGTGGCTCCCGTCAGAGCGTGACTGTCACAGCACTTCCTCTGTCTTCTTTTTCCTAGTTACCGCAGCAAGGACGCATACAATAAGGGGAATCTCTTCAACAGCCTGAACTACGATGTCGCGGCCAAGAAGAGAAAGAAGGACATGCTGAACTGCAAGGCCAAAACTCAGTGTAAGCCCTTTGCTCTGCGCTTCAGAAAGCCGCTCCAGGGCCGCTCTGCCTGCTGCTTTGGGGGACGCGGGAGGAGTAATCTCACCTCCAGCGGCAGACACCGGCTTCGAGGTTCACTGCGTCCTTGACGGGGTGCCGGGATCTTTGCACCCAGAGACCCGCCTCTGCATTTTATGAGCGAGATTAATGCGTTCTTTATAGTCTTGTTTATAAGTCAGTTGCTAGTTGGGATGTGGGGTTTTGTTTTGTTTTTTTCCTGCTTGTCACTTGTGTTTGACATAGTTAATTTAGTGATATGGTCAGCTGAATCAATTCCAGCATGGGCATTTATTTTGAACTGTTTTGGGGCTTTGAAAATTGATTTGTTTCTCCCTCTTTCCTTGTATAAGTGCTAGTAACACTTCTAGATGCTGTATGTGAGCATCAACAGAGAGTATTAAGTTATATTAATAAGCAGGAATTACAGATCTTTAGCTTAAGCCATCTGTACTGCATGGTTCTCTCGTGTTATCTGTTTTATTTCTACTTTTTATGGCCTTGTATACATTGTAGGTTTGGCATATAAAAAAACTTGTACTTGGGTGTCAAGGGTTTTTTTTTAATTTGGAGCTATGAGATACTAGATTTGAGTATCAAAGATTTGGAGTGCTTTAGACAAAGTAAATTGTAACTCCAGTATTTATACACTGCAGAAAGTAGGCATGTGCAGCCTCTTAGATTATCGGTGGAGTTTTTGTGTCTTTTTTTGTTGAAACTTTTTACACTTTGGGATAAATGAAAAAGAAACAAGCTTAACATCTTGGGCATGTTAAAGCTGGGTAATTTTTCTTTTTGTCTCTAGATTTCCACCAAGAAAAATGGATCTATGTTCACAAAGGAAGCACTAAAGAGGTGAGCACCATCCGTTTATTAAAGAGTATGCTTAGCTTTATGCCTTTCCCTACAGAGTGGGGGGAATTGGGCAACAATGTTATTTCAAATCATGACTGTCTTCTTGGGTGTGGGTGGTGGTGATGAACAGCCCACTAATTTGCCTACCATCAGAATTTGGGGCTCCAGAGAGAGAGAGAAGCAGAAGTCACTAGGTTGGCCCCCCGCCAATCATTCAGTAAGATAATGTATGTAAAAATGTTTATAAAGATGCCCACCTCAAATATATTATTATAAAGCCCTGGCCTTTGCCTCAGGACAGTGCCTCCTTTTTGTTCTAAGACCTCTTTAGACTTCAACTCAGTTAAGTTTTAGCCCTGGAAAAGCTAGTCACTAAATATAGCAGAATTTTTTTGCCTACTCCGTGTGAGGCACCGAGTGAGATGTAGAAGGGGAAAAGACACTGTAATAACCACATTTGCATGGCACTTTATAAAACCCTTTTGTGTATATTTTCTCTCTGCCCAGGCATTTATTTGTTCAGACATCCAGGATACAAGGCAGTAGGAGAGCGATAGAATTTCGGTCACTGTCAGGGACCTTGGAGAACAGCTAGTTCCCTCTGGGATACAAGGCCTTGAGGGGGTCAGTGGTGCACCCAGACACTCAGAGCTGAGCTGGGAATATGAGCCGGAGCTCTCTACTCCCGGTTCCCTGTGGGTTCATAGGTCAAAGATCAAAACTTCCTTTGCTTCTTCATGAAGCCTTAAGAATGCTTCTGATGATCAGATTGAGAAAAGCACTAGAGATGTGAGGCAAGGTAGCCGGCAGAGTCGGCAGGTAGTCTGATCGTCCTCCCAGGAGTATGTTACAGTGAGCAACTCTCATCGTCTCACACATCACATATCCAGCTCCCAACCTTTCCCTGATGAGCAGCTGCTTATGAATTTCCCCAGCTACTCTGTGCAGAGATCGGGGCCCGAATGGCACAGTCACGAAGGGTGTTCACATGTGAGTCACTGACTGAAGCAGCTGCCAGCTCCACTGCCCCCACATTTGTGGCTCTCAGGGGGTTCCCAGGAAAAGCATGTCATGGCACAAGAAAGGAGCAGATGGTCGTGGTTACCTAGACAGGCACCAGCCTTGTTCAGCCCAGTCCAGGTGCACTGCTCTGGGGTAACCTCTGCACCCCCTTCTCATGCTCAGCGCCATGGCTACTGCACGCTGGGAGAAGCTTTCAACAGGCTGGACTTCTCCACTGCCATTCTGGACTCCAGGAGGTTCAACTACGTCGTGCGGGTAAGTCTCAGGAACCCAAAGGCCGATCCAGCCTCTCAGGTTGAATTGTCTTTTTGTGGTTGTCTGCAAGTAGTTTCCCCAAACAAGCAACTTTTCAGGACATTGAGAACTTTGAGGGAAGCAGAAATGGACTCAACTTCCCCCTCCCCCATCAAACTTGAAGTTCTTATGTGGATCCTTGAGGTGTCCCTGAGGTTGGCCCCGACCGACGGGGACTCCAGGATACTTCAGGGAGCCGCTCCCAGCCCCCGTGGATAAATGGGAGCGCACTGCAGCCAGCGTGGGCTCTGGCAGCGACATTAGCAAGAGAGAATTCAGTGGTAAGCAAGCTGTAAAGCACCTCGGCTTGTTTTAAAAACCTTCTGCGCCTCTGACTGTTCCTGCCGTCCAATTCCTGGTTCTAGTGCAGCTGACTCTAGATGGCCCCAAGGCACTCGGGGTTCAGACCACGACACTGGATGAGTTCAGAGCACCTCAGGGCTTCTTTCCCAGGGCTCCCTTCCACCTCCGCCCTCCTGTGATGACAACATTCAGCCCTGTGTTGACCCAAAGCTTGAAACTACCTGTTTGGGCCCATTGCTTTAGCAAAATATCACTGATGAAGATAGTAATGCAAATAAATCTGACCCTGCCCTTCAAGTCAGGGGTTCTTCTTAATTAGTTTATTATCATTTCCCCCCCCCCAAGCAGCCTTGTGGGTCAACCTGGGAGGAGGTAGCAGCTGTTTGGGTCTTAGGCTCAGAAGTAGGAGGGAATTTTCCCCATGTGGGTGTTGGTTTGGTTTTTATTTTCTTCTCCCTGGGTTGTTGTGCTTCTCGTGGCATGTCATTGAGTCAGATGATTGCAAAGGCTCTGCCAGAGCGATGACATTCAGGCCCCTTTGAGGCCCGGATCATTCACCTGTCCTCTGGGCAGATGCAGGGCTGCCGTCCCAACTGACCTGATGGAAACCCAGGCGTCCTTGTAGTTTAGGAGCTTGAAGCTGAGCCCAGGACCACATGAGCGGCTCTGTCCACTCTTCAGCTGAGCCCTTATTCCAATCCAAAAGGGTTGAAAATGTGAGCCCATCTCGATGAAATGTACGTGTCATTCGGTGTGCCTGCCACCTCAGGGAGGTCACTGTAGCCGGCAGTCCAGCCCAGGCTGGTTGGAGACAGGCCCAGGAAGATCTGGAAACTGTTGCTAAGAATATGAATAGTTTCCATCCCCTGGGTATTAGAGCCAGACACCCAGATCTGGCGTCTTGATTACAAACTCGTCAGCAACATGGACAGTTTTTAGATGGTTCTCCTTCCCACCTGTTATTCCTTTCACAAGAAATAAAGTTACAGAAAGGAACAAGGATGGTGGCAGTGAAAACCTGTTTCATACACCCACGTGCATTACCCTCCTTTAGCCTTTCAGTAACCCTGCGAAGTGTAGGGGCTTTTATTATCGATGTTTAAACAAATAGATAAAGATAAAATGACTTGTCTAAGGTCATGAAGCTACATAAATACAAAATGAGGATCTGAAACCTGCACAGTCTACAATAAGTCCTAAGCAAGCAAAGGATTGAAAGTAAAATGGCCTGGGATCAGAGGATTGAAGCTCCACTACTTTCACTGTTTCAGCCTCTCTAAGACTCAGTTTCCCTCTCCTTAAGAGGGACTTAGAATAACCTCACTGCACGGGGTGGCTGTGAAACTCAGTAATATATTATATGTGGAGATACTCTGCAGAGCAGAAGCTTGCGGTCAGCTCCCGATATTTATTATTACCTACTTACCGACAAATTATCATTGATTCCCCCTAAAATACCTTTTTAATTTAGTTTATGAACATGTTTCCTACTTAAAAAAATAATAATTAACTGGGAAATCTCACTGATTAAGACTCAGCACAGAGGACTGGTGTCTGAGAGTGTCTAATTGCAAACTGTATCATGGGCTCTTTCTCATAAATAATTTTTAAGTTCGAGAAACTGCCGAATGCTTTCAGAGTCATTAGGTTCAGAAGTAGTGGAAAAATATTACTGTTTTGGAAAGAACAATCTTTTTTTCCCCTTCACTCTTAGAGCCCTCTGTAATTTGAGAAATAATATGTTATTTTTATGAAGAGCTTAAAACATTTTAATGATAGGCACCACGTTTTGAGGCTTTTCTTCTAAGGAACTGAATACACTTCTCATATATTCTTATCCTTAAACCAACTTTGCAAAGCGGTTTCCAGCATTTATCCCCATCTTACTACTTCACCTAATGGCTTCTTTATGCTACAACGATCCTTAGTTCCAGTAAGAAACTGAACCAACTTTGAAGGCCTTTAAAAAATTTTTTAAATCTCTTTAAAGGCAAAGTACATTTTAAAAAATACTGTGTTCATGCTGGCTGTCATCTCCAGAAAAAGAGACATGCAAAGGGAACAAAAGCGACCACCAACACTGCTGTCTCAAAATGTCATACTTTTTATCAGTAAGCACAAGAATTTTGTGGAATTTTTGGAATCAAAACTTTGAATATAAATTGCAGAGGTTTTTTTTATAGCATTTGTATCTTAACTGGCTTCAGGCTGCACTCATTGCCTCTATCCCTTCCCCACCCACAATGGTTTAAATACAATTTTAACCGTGGGTTTTAAAGATGATTTAAGATCTTTAGAAGCAGCAACTTGCTCATTTATGAATGGTCATTTTAAAAAATTTGTTTACACCACGTCTCAAGACCAACACATTTTGGAAATTCCCCTGGGGCCAGGGGTGGATTCCAGGAGCTGGGCTAGTGGTAGGGCTGGAACTTGGTAACCACAGGAGGGAAGTGCTAACTAACTCATCCAGGGTAGGAAGAAGCCAGCAAAGAAAGGGAGTCTCCAGTAAACCGGGAGGGTTTCAGAGACCACACACTGCTCTTGGTTCTGTGAAGGACCCGCTATGGCCAAATGGTCCCAACGGTCCCAACCCTGGCTGCATGTTAGAATCACCTGTGAGGCTCGTCTACAGAAACCCACCTCTTCGGGGCCTGATTTCATTAGCTGAAGTGGTGCCCAGCATTGCTACTGAAGTGCATCCACCAGGTGATCCCAATGGGTTTTCAAGTTTGCAACCCATCTCAGGAACTATTTGGGGGCCCATCTGTTGTATTTTGCACACTGGGTTTTTAAACAAGGCGCTGAGGCAGGCGCACAGGAGAGGGCTTTAATGCTTTAATGCCAGGGGGGCCTGGTCCTCCCAGCTCTCTCTGTGGAATGCGAATGCGGCCGCATAGATGGTAACCGTAGATGCCATGTTCAGACCAGGAAGGTCCTGGAGAACCTTGAGTATCAGTCTCCTGACTGGGATGAACCGACCCCCATAGCTAGCAGATCAGGAAAGAATCTAAAGCTTGCAACTCTCTCTGTCCCTCTGCAGCAAAGAACTTCACCATCTAAACCAATGCACATTCTTATTTTTTTCCTGCATCACCACCCGAAGTCCATTTGAATGTTTCCAGCAAGCTATGCATTCCTACCACCCCTAAAAGTCTTTTCCAAAAACATGTTTTAGTTTAAGTTGACTGGCGGTTTGGCAAACAAAGGCTGAAATAGGGCACTGTGACTCAAATGCAAACCCAATGCCTTCAATTAAGGGAGTGCTCTTGCCAAGCCCCTGGTGGGTCGTGATGTGCGTGAGCAGCCAGCCCCTCTGCCACAGTGCCCTTGGGTTAATTTAGTGCTGCACACACTCGGTGGCTGGCCTTCCGTTGATGGAGGGTGGCCTCTACCACTTGGATCTTAACACTGATGGTATCTTTTTCCACTGGGACTGAGAAGCTGGGATAGAAGGAAGGTGGCCAGCTACCTTGACAGCAACAGAGTCAAAACAGCAGAGCCAAGAGCCCATTTGAAAATGGCTCGCAGAAATGGTAGGAAACCATGGGCACCAGCAGCGAGGGCACAGGACAGGCCTGCTAGTGATTTCACAGGAGCAAGTCTGCATCTCTCGGAATTCCTGGCCGTCTCAGTGGCAATAAACATTCAGATAAGCAGATCCCGCAGTGTCTGGGTGCCCACAGAGGTAGGGACACTCATAGACATGAGGATATGACCACAGAAGTGGGGGAGCACATGCAGAAATGGGGGCTACCTGAAGGAGTGAAGGGTGCCCACACAACCACAGAAGTAATGGAGTCATTCCAGAAGTAGGAGGGTTTCCACAGAAGTGGGGACACCCAAAGAAACAGGGGAAGGCTGAGACCAGATAGTGGGGTTTTTTGCCATGGACCCCTAACAGTAAATAAACAGTGAAAACATGTGCTGTCCATGTATGTATATTCATAAATTCATTTGTAAGTCACATTCCTTTAAAAGGTGCTAATAAAGGGACCTACCATTGTGTTGCTGGAAGAATTAAACTGAGTATAAACACGTAAAAGGTGTTCAAACAGTGCCTGGTACATGGTAAGCACTCAATGAGTATCAGTTGTTGCTGTTACTATGATCTTTCTTTTTCTTTTTTCTTTTACTTTTTTAATGGTGCCCTTGACCAGAATTGAACCTGAGACCCTTCAGTCCACAGACCAACACTCTAACCACTGAGCAGAGCCACTAGGGTTGCTACTTTTATCTTAAATAGAGTCCTAATTACAAGCATTGGGAACACTCAAAAATGGAAATTAAAGATGAAATAAAATACAGAGATTGATTTTTTACAATTTTTCTTTCCCATCCCACTTTGGAGACCATTGGATCAAAGGTGTGCCCATTTTTGTATAACATTTTTCCTGAGGATTCAGAATCTAAACATCCTACCACGGGCCCCAGAAATATATTTAGACTAAAAGTCTACCTAGGTTTCTAGGCTAAGTCAGGGGAATATGCTAAACTGGACAGGTGAGCAGAGTTTTAAGTGCCAGTTCAGCAGACCTTTCTCCCATTCAAGGAGGGAGGCCCCTGGGAGCGTTTGACATTGTTGTCTTCATTGCTGTGGTTGAGGGTAAGACAGAGGTTTATTTTAAGTATCTGTCACCTAGGATCAGAAGTCCCCT